TGCAACGTTTAAAATACGTTGCGAAAGGCGTCTTTTGCAACGTTTTGTAAACATTGCAAAATGTAGACTTTTCGAACGTTGCAAAAGGTAGACTTTTCGCAACATTTTTTAAATGTTGCAAAAAACGCCTTTCGCAACATTTTTTAAACGTTGCAAAAATAAAACTTTTCGCAACGTTTTTTAAACGTTGCAAAACGTAGACCTTTTTGGCCCAAACAATATTGTAATTTGAATACCCATTTATAATCCAAAACTCTCAAGCTCAAGCCCAAGCCCAAGCCAAAGCCCAAGCCCAGAGCGCCCACTAGCCCAATAACCCATTAACCCAATCAAACTCCATGACCCGTTTCCAACCAACTCATTGACCCATTCAATTGAATCAATTGGCAATAGCTCCGATTCAATTTCAACTGGCTGGTACCAAAATTATCTTCCCTCTCCAGTCTCCGCCTAAGCCCGTCTCCGACTCAAGCCACTCTACCTCTGATCAGACTTGCTCCGTACACCATAGTCCGTAAGAGGCGTTGCTTCCTATTGGTGGTAGCTCCACCGTCCACGTCTCCACTGCCCCAGCCTCAAGTTAACCTTCGACTTTGAAGGTCGAGGCAAAATCGACCATCGATGCCCGACAATTCTTCTGAATTCCAACAATAGGCAGCCAACAGAAGAATAAGGTAAAGCCCCAATTTCCAATTTTCCACCAACCCTAATTTTGAAGCTTTTTTCTCCTTTTTTATTTTTAGATTTGTGTAAATTGTAATAATATTTGGTTTTTAAATTGCTGTTTTTAACATATGAAATTAACACCTCGGAGCGGCACTTCCTACAATTGCTCTTCTATTGTTTATCCTACCAGTACCAGACAACATCGATGGCACTCAAATAATAAAAGTTCAGATGGTAAGATTAGGCATCCAGTTGATTCATTGAGTTGGGAAATGATTAATCGAAGGTGGCCAGATTTTGCATCCGATCCTCGAAATATTAGATTAGGTCCTGCTACTGATGGATTTAATCCTTTCAAAGATCTTAGCTCTAAATACAGGTGTTGGCCATTAATCTTAACTATATATAACTTGCCTCTCTCAATTTGCATGTCAAAGGAAAATTTGATATTGAGTTTATTGATCCCAAGATCGAAACAACCAGGTAATAACATAGATGTTTATTTGGCACCACTTGTGGACGACTTAAAGTTGTTATGGAATGATGGGGTTGATATGTATGATGCTGTTACAAAGTCTATGTTTAACTTAAAAGCTCTTTTGATGTGGACAATAAATGATTTTCCCGCATTTGGAAATATATGAGTGGCCCGTCAAAGGAAAAATTGCATGCCCTATTTGTCGTGAAAGTACATGTTCATTATGGTTGAAGCATGGTAGGAAGTTTGTGTACATGGGGTATATAAAATTCCTCGCGTTTGATCATTCGTTTCGTATGAAAAGTAGTTGGTTTAATGGACATATTGGACATGGTATTAGGCCACAGATAAAAAATGGTGAAGAAGATTTTATTGAAGTTGATAAAATTACAAACAACTGGGGAAAAAGTGGGAAACGGAAGAGGAAGAAGAATACAGTTCAATCTAATGTAACGTGGAAGAAGAGGTCAATATTTTTCAATCTACTATATTGGAAGGTAATTTTTGTGATATTTCCTTCATTTTTATTCAATACTTATAATTGTGTGTAGTTTTTATGACTCCAATGGCATTTGATTAGCAAACTTTACTTGTACGTCATAATTTGGATGTGATGCATGTGGAGAAGAATGTTTGTGAAAGCATCATCAGTACACTTTTGGATGTCAAAGGAAAACCTAAAGATGGCATTAACTCTCGTAAGGACATGGAAGAAATGAATATTAGGCATAATTTACATTCTCAGAGCAGAGGAAATAAATTCTATCTACCAGCTGCTCCTCACATCTTATCAAAAGCAGAAAAGCAAATTTTTTTCACAAGGCGTGTTAGCTTGAGATTACCCGATGGTTATGGATCTAATATTGGAAATTGTATATCGGTGGAAGAATGTAAGATGGCTGGGTTGAAGTCTCATGATTGTCATATGTTAATGCAACAATTATTATCAGTTGCGTTGAGAGGGCTTCTACCTAAAGGACCGAGGAATTCCATTTTTAAATTGAGTTCATTTTTCAAAGAAATATGTCAAGGAATTGTAGATAGAAATATGATTGAACAATTAGAGGAAGACATTGCTGAAATTTTATGCATGTTGGAAAGGTACTCCCCGCCTTCCTTTTTTGATATAATGGTTCATTTAACAATCCATATTGGGAGAGAAGTTCGTCTATGTAGACCAGTACAATATCGTTGGATGTATCCATTTGAGAGATACATGAAAGTGTTGAAAGGGTATGTTATGAATCGTACATGGCTTGAAGGGTGTATAGCTGAATGATATATTGTTGAAGAAAATGCCAGGTTTTGTAGCAAATATGTAACACAAGCATCTAAAATAGGTTCTAAGCCTATACGCAATGAAGAATACGAGACTAATTTCCTAGTTGCAGGGCGTACAATTTCTAAAGGGAAGGAAATTATACTATCCAATGAGATGTTGAAAGTTGCTCATCGCTACGTGTTACTGAAGTTCAACCATACATAGAGTACATTTATTAAATATTGAGTTCAATAATTTGAAGTAGTTAACAATAGTTTTTGATATATTGTATTCACCTTAGGATGCATATGGATGAATTGAAGAGTTTTGACAAACGACTGGAAAGAAATGAGACTTTATTGAATAAGAAGTACATTGATGCTTTTTCTGCATAGTTGGATGATAAGGTTGGAATACACATCAACAAATAAATGTCTTAAAGTTGTGATATTTATTCTTTTATTTCTAATATTTTTAACATAATAACGGATTCAAATTTAGCTATTGACGGACAAAGTTTCGAACAATTTGAAGTGGCTTGCACGTGGTCCTAGATATCAATCCAAGTCATATTCTAGTTTTGTTATAAATGGTCTTCGATTTCACACCAAAGATGCAGAAAAATCTAGCCAAAATAGTGGCGTTTTAGTTGAAGCAACGACCATATGTAGATCTAGTACAAAAGATAATGCACAAATAGTTTGGCAAGTTCTTTATTATGGGGTTTTGCATGACGTTATAGTGCTTGACTATCATACGTTTCATGTTCCAATATTCAAGTGTGATTGTGTAAATATTGTGAACGGAATAAAAAAGGAAGATGGATTCACTTTGGTTAACCTTAACGAGGGACACAGACAATTTGAAAATGATCCGTTCATTTTGGCAACACAGGCGAAACAAGTATTTTATTCTAGGGAAAATGAAACATCTAGTTGGTATGTGGCTTTACAAGCGCCACAAAGAGACTTTGATGCATCACATTTGGAAGAAGATACAGTCTATGAGGTAACTATTCCACTAGATATATTGCAGCCAATTACAGACAACCATGATGAAGATGACAATTATGCAAGGATAGATGTTGAAGGCGTACTGTGTGATACATATAGTAGTTTGGTAACTCCTTTTTTTGTAGACAACAATTTTTTTATATAATGATCAATTTTTCTAGAATATTTTGACATGTGATTTATCTATCCATTAATATTGCGATGAAATGTTAAATAACATCTATTTGTTTTGATGTTGTAGGTTTTTACTCTAGCTCCAGAGAATCGTTTCAATCTGAAATACATTTTGCACGATGGACAAGGCTCGGGTAATTGTGTTTTCTTATAATACATAAGATATATGCTAAGTTTTGAAAATAATTGCGTTTAACTTATGTTTCCATGTTGTATTCTCAAAGCCAACTAAGCAAACTTCGAAGAGCTCTAAAAGAAGAAGAGCTTCAATTGCTAATGCAATTCGGGAGACCAGTAAGAGACTAAACAATTCTAGTGAACAAGACAATACTATAACTAGTCCAACTAATGATGAGCAAACCACGTTGCCAACAACTATAAATGCTCCAAAAAAGAAAAGAGGTCCAACACAAGTGAAGATGATTCCTGAACATAATTATCAGAAGATAAATCTAAAATTCAATGAATATGGCCAAGTTGTTGGGCAGAACTCGGAAAAATTTTCTAGCGTAGTTGGGGCCATGGTACGAGAACATGTACCTATTGTAATCAAAGATTGGACTTCAGTTAATGAAGAGACTAAAATGGAGCTCTGGACTTTCATACAGGTAACATTTCGTGACTACCTTTTCAGATTATTATGTTGTATTTATTACTATCAACTTAATGATGCCATTTTCTAAAGTCTTAAATTCATGTTTGTGCACAAATATAGCAAAGGTTCAATGTCAGTGATTGTCATCAAAGAATGACATTTCAATGTATGGGGAAGTACTGGAAAACATTCAAATCAAGATTGAAAAAACAAATTAGAACTCAAGTTGAATCATCTGTGCATAGAGCATGCACTATTACCCTTCTTAGACCAAAAAGTGTCAACTCTGAAGAAGTCTGGGTTAAATTTGTTGAGGATACTCTTTCTGCTGATTTTCATGTAAAGCTTGACTCTTATTTTAATTATTGTCGTTTTATACTATGTTTTTTTTTTTCAATAGGAGAAAAGTTCCAGGTTCAGCAACATGCGAACTAATCAGAAGCTTCTCCATACTATGGGTAGAAAGGGTTATCTACGTGTGGCTTATGAAATGGTACTTCTTACGAACATATTATGTCTTTTTACTTGGATTGTCCAATTTCAATATATGTAATTACTACATTTGTACTGCAGGAAAAAAAAATCCACATTTAAAAGGGTTATGAACAGAAGTATGGAAATGGGGACATCTCAGAAAAGATGGAAAACCAATTAATGAAGCAGTTGCCGAAACTTTGGTATGTGTATTATACCAATGTTCAATTAAGTATAATTTGATTTATTAGTTGTATCACTTGTAAGTATCTGATTTTTGAGTTTCATAAGTGCAGAAAAGGATTGAAGATTGTGCCACATCAATTTTCGATACGCCTGCCAAAGATTCCATCCGTGATGATGCTATTGCTCGAGTTTTAGGTCATGAACGTCATGGGAGAGTTAGGGGACTCGGATTTGGAGTTGTACCATCAAAAGTGGATAGACAAATACAAAGTAGTGGGAGAGTTAGAAAACTTGAAAGTCAATTACAGATTCAGGCACAAACGGTAGGGGCATTAGAAGAAAAAATGGAAGCATTTATTAGGTTTTCTCAGCAGGTTATGACTAGTTACTTTTTACACATTTTATGATTATATAGCTTTATATAGCCAATTACATGTATAATAATTTTTGTAATTTTTGTATCATTATACAGAATGTGGAGGGTAGGAATTCAAATGGTTTTACTCAGGTTTCCATTTCCTATATTATTTAATGTTCATTGAATATCTATTGAGTTTGTAGCATTCTAATTTTAAAAAGAATACTTTCTCTTTATTATAAATTTGTAGTCACACCAAGGAAGTGGTGTCCAAGGAAGTACTACCCCCAAAACAAATGCAAGATGTCAACTGTTGCATTGGTACATGTTTAAGGAGGAAGAAGTCGTAGTAGAATGGAAGATTGGCACAACAGACCCTAGTGCAAAGGTGCATCACTTGCCACTCAGTCGAGACTATTGGAAGGTTTGGGTTGATGAAGTCTATATGGGTAATTTCACTTTATACAGACCCACAAATGAGTTTCGCACTCTTAGTGAAGCCATGGAAAGTACTGTTGCTTAGCCAAAGAGCAGTATTAGACTTCTTGATTAAGGTATATTTTTTGAATTTATAACATATACGCGTCCTGTTTTCGTTTTCTTTCCATCCCAAATAGTATTAGTGTTGGTTGGTTGGTACGTATGAAGTGGTTTCATGTAATTGGTTGGTTAGCTAGTGAGATTTTGGCAGTGAGGATTAATAGGTTACTTGGCTTAATTATTAGGTTTCATTCAATAAGTTTTTTGTTATTGAATGGTCGAAACATGATTTCATGCTGAGACTGATTTAATGTGTGGACAACATGATTTTGTGCTAAGCCTGAAATGCCTTTGTGATTGTCTTGATTTGTTACAATTAAGCCTTTCTATTGAAAAGGTGAAGTTTTGCTATTTGAATGTTTATTTATTATTCAATAGTTGTTGGCTAAAAATACCTTTACGGGACTCGTTGATTACAGGCCGATCTTTTTTCCAACAAGAAGTTTCTTTTTCAAGTGAGATTGATGCAAGGCTCGTTGGACATAAATTGTTCCACTGGCAATAGTATTGATCAAGTAACATGTGACGGAGCTCAAGTTTAAGTTTCAATTTTTGTACTTTTCTAATTACATTTTGGTAGTACATGTTTGGAGACTCTTAATTTTATTTTTGAAAAGATTATATGTTGAATATTTTACAAATTTAATGAGTACATGTTTGTTAGATTATTATTTTGGTGGTACATGTTTTTTAGTTTTGAATGACTTATTTGATTAAAGAACAAGATTTTTAATAGTGTTTAAAGCATAGATAAAAAAAATGTGAATTATCTATTGCAATGTTTAAAAAACGTTGCAATAACTTGCAATAGATAGGCTATTGCAACATCTATCCAACGTTGCAATAGACAGACTATTGCAACATCTTTTCAATGTTGCAAAAGTCTATCTATTGCAACATCTGACAAACGTTAACATTGCAATAGATAGGCTTTTGCAACATTCGTCAAACGTTGCAATAGATAGGCTTTTGCAACGTTTTTTAAACGCTGCAAAAACTCTTACCGTAACAGCAACATCAAGCTTCGCAACATACGCTCAAACGCTGCAAATGACTTTTTGCAACGTTTTTTGGCCGTTGCAATAGCCCTTTTTTGGTGTAGTGAAACCTTGGGCATTGAATTCACCCCTCTTAAAGAAAGTATCAACAAAATTGTTGAAAACTTGTAGGAGAAGAATTTTTTCGGAGGCTCATCTGTAAGTTGAGTGTTCAGTGTTCTGGGTTCCCCCAAAAATTTACAGAATAATGTATAAATATTGTTTATCAATCACTAAGCGTGTGAAAAATCAAAGCTTTTACCTACTTATTTTGTTGATTTTCTTCATCTTCATTTGATTTTGAATTAATCATCATTTTTCTTAAATTTTCATTTGATTATCGTGTTTTGTTTGAGGTTTACATAAACGGGCCATGGTATTAGTTTTGTTCAAAGATAGCTTCAAGAGGATGGTGAATTCTAGTTTCTAAAATAATTTTGTAAGAACTATGCTTTTGAAATTAATTTCTCTTACTTAGAAATTATTCAGCGCAATGAGGAATGATGAAAAATGCTTGTAAATTTCACACTTGCTTTCATATTAAAGGGACACAGAAGGCCAATCCCGAAGATTGAATAGTGATTATTGGACGGAATTAGGAAAAGGGGGTAGACGCTGGAGTTTTTGCTGGTTTTGGATGGACTCAAAGAAGGAGATTCATTTGGGGTAAGATTCGTTTCTGGAGTAATTATTCCAATACCCAGGTTTGTACTCTTCTCACACTTCATTTTAAATTTTAAAATCTCTTTTTTCTTGCATATTTAATTTGTTTTAGGAAAACATGTGCCTTCTTAGGTCTAGAAATTGTGGAAATTTTGTGGATTTTGTGCATGTTTTGTAAGGTAGATTGGATGGACAGTGTTAAGAAAGAAAAAGAGGGTTTATAATCTTGTATATGTGCGATGATGTTTTGTAAGATTTAGAGCAGCGCGGAGAGTACACAGTTGCCTCTTAATGTTGCACGATTTTTTTTTCTTTTTTCTCATTTCTTTAAGTTAAGAACTCCAATTTCCCGATTTTGGAGAAATTTTGAAGTTACCATTTTTGGTGAAATTTTAGTCAAATGTGATTGGAAACGTGCCAATGCTAAGGTATGCAACATTGATATCTATAGACCTTATATCAGCATGTTGAGGGACAAATAGTGCATTTGAGCTAGGAAGGCAAGGATGAAGAGACACATACTAGCCAACCTCATCGAGAAACACCAATAAAACCTAATGGACGATCACCTGTCATTCGATGATAAGAAAGCGGACCTACATCCTTATCCTTGGAGTCCTAGTGATCTCAATACCCATAGCTAAGGTCACCATCCCCAAGGTCTTGGTTGACCCTGGAAATGCCCTCAACATACTCTAAACCTACACACTGAAATGGGTAGGTATTCCGCTACACTTCTTACAACTATATTCAAATGTGGTTTTAGGATTAAATGGAGCTCTCACTAAGGCAAAAAGGCTGATCAAGCTTGTTGTTGAGGCTGGCGAAACCCCACGCCGAGCTAAATTAAACATCGAGTTCGCGATGTTTGATTCCACGTCACCTTATGATGCCATTATGGGATAGCCTCTATTTTTCAACCTCAGAGCCACCGTGTAGGTGATATCAAGGGAAATAGCGAGATTGCTAAGAAATATCAGATGAAGATCTGCCCATTCAGCTCCACGCTCAACAAATTAAGGGTGGGAAACCTATAAAGACTATATAAACAAGTTGAAAGTTTAGCAAAGGATATATTGTTCTATTAGAAATTATTGTGTGTGACATTTTAACACAACATGACATGTCATTTTTTTATAAAGATGTCACAAACCATGCCATTTGACTCTTCTTAATAATATCTTCGACAAGTTCATGCCGTAACAAGGAAAATAAAAAATACTATGTAAAGTCAAGTTAAACTTTTTAACTAAAAAGTGACATACAATGTCACTTTCTCTATCATGAAAATTTAAATCACATTTAACACACTATAAAATAAATTAACATTTAAAACAAATTCTTATAAGCAAATTGAAAGTCTAGCCAAATATGTATTGTTCAACTATAAATTGATTATGTGTAACATTTTAGTTAAAAAGTGACATGTAAGTTGACTAAAAAACTTTTGACAAGTTCACAACGTGATAAAGATTACATAAATTATATTTAGTTGTTACTATTAAGTTTTTGCTGCGTTAGACGCAAATAATATTCTACATTAGAAAAGTGATAGAGCTATATCAGAAATATGACATACAATGCTAATTTTTTATTAAAAGGTTATATAGCTACATTACAAATGTGACATGCTATACCAGTTTTAGCTTTGAATTAAAGTTTGAATTAGAAAGTAACGTGCCTTGTAATTAAAAAGTTCACGTATAATTAAAAAGTTCACACATTGTTAAATTTGAATTTAAAAATAAATAACGTACTTCAGATTCCGACCTGATGCAACTGACGTGCACCTTATAAAGTAATCATTTATATGGAGATTGATTAGTATTGTCAGATTCGAAAATACCTTATTTATAAGGTTCAACAAGGGCTACTAATAACAAGGGCTACTAATTTTATACACGACTTGAGGTAACTCAAGTTTAATTAGTGGAAATATTTTGTTTTATAATTATGACTAGATATTCTAATTTGTATTGTAAATTATATGTTTACTAGTGAATGATTATCATTTCTCTGTAGCCCTTGTTGTTATGAATCAAAATGTATTCTCAAGATTATAAGCTGATGATTTAAATATTTTTGTAACTCGTGTTGGGCTTTCAAAGACATTTAATTACTTAAATTAAGTATTCAAGATAAATAGTTCTTGGAAACATAAAATTTCGTTTTGACCTATTGACAAGCATTTAGAAAATTGAATTATCAATCAACTTATATAGAAAAAGTTGTGAAAAAATTTTATGTGCAAAATGACACACAATTATTGGACATACAATGGTTATTTGTTCCCTTGAAGTGAAAGGATGATTCTTTTTGTGATCAGGATAATAAAAAAAAATGTATATTAATGCAATAGATATACTATTTTATTTTGCTAATAGTTCATGATTTGCGACTAATTAGTTATCATGACATTGAGTAATACACAATGCACATAAAGCTCATCAACCAATTTATCTATTCATATGTGACTATTATGATGTTTTATGTGGCACGGATGTTGACAAAAGCATTATCTACTGATATTATCATTAAGAGAGTATATGTGCATTGTATTCTTTTTTCCATAAGCAAGGTTTTTTCCTAATAGGTGATTCTGACAAGGTTTTTAATGAGACAATTTTCGTTCATATTAAAAACAATAATGTATTCTTTTTTCTTTACAAGGATTTTTCCTACATAATTTTTTCTTATAATTTCTAAAACGTATATTATTTGTATAATGAATATCCATAACCCACATGACATTTACCATAAATATATTCTCATATATTACAAACTGTATTTACACTTATGCATTAACAAAATCTATTATTCACGTAACCATTGTGTTGACTACAATTATCAATGATTGGTAACTATCTTGTATGAAGACGGTATTTAATGTGATTCGAGAATTCCATATTTTGACAGTTTTCTAGTTTAGTTAGAATTCTAATATTTTAGCATCTTTAATATATTTTGGATTTATTTTTTTTTCCGTTTTTATATTATATTCTAGCTTTAGTATAAATAGGAAATATCTTTCATAATTGTATTCAGAACTCTGATATGAATTAAATTAGAGATTTTCTCTCGAAGCTTCGCTTCAAAACTTTTGTTCTTCAATGGGCAAATCTACCGAACTTATCAGGAATTAATATTCTTGTGGCGTTCAAATCAATCGGGTGAGATTCATTTAAATTGCGTAATCAAGATGTCCGCATATTGTCGGCGATTCTGGTTGCTTGGTTCCATTAAAGGGACACAGAAGGCCAATCCCGAAGATTGAATAGTGATTATTGGACGGAATTAGGAAAAGGGGGTAGACGCTGGAGTTTCTGCTGGTTTTGGATGGACTCAAAGAAGGAGATTCATTTGGGGTAAGATTCGTTTTTAGCCCTTGTTGTTATGAATCAAAATGTATTCTCAAGATTATAAGCTGATGATTTAAATATTTTTGTAACTCGTGTTGGGCTTTCAAAGACATTTAATTACTTAAATTAAGTATTCAAGATAAATAGTTCTTGGAAACATAAAATTTCGTTTTGACCTATTGACAAGCATTTAGAAAATTGAATTATCAATCAACTTATATAGAAAAAGTTGTGAAAAAATTTTATGTGCAAAATGACACACAATTATTGGACATACAATGGTTATTTGTTCCCTTGAAGTGAAAGGATGATTCTTTTTGTGATCAGGATAATAAAAAAAAATGTATATTAATGCAATAGATATACTATTTTATTTTGCTAATAGTTCATGATTTGCGACTAATTAGTTATCATGACATTGAGTAATACACAATGCACATAAAGCTCATCAACCAATTTATCTATTCATATGTGACTATTATGATGTTTTATGTGGCACGGATGTTGACAAAAGCATTATCTACTGATATTATCATTAAGAG